GGCAGCTGCTCATACCCATCCTCCCAGTCCCCATATATCATCTTCCACGCTCGCTGCTTAGCCCTCCAAGCTTTACCGTAAGTTATCACATAACCTTCATACAATGCCTCAACGGTCCTGATAATTATCCTAACCTTTATGTTGGGTTCTTCCTGCAATATTTCCATCAACCGCTTGGCAATGAGGGTAGATGTCAACTGCCAATGCTTCAGTGTTAGCACATGGTCATCACAATTGTGTGGCCCGACAACTTTTGTGATCTTCCACTTTTCGGTGACCTTTTGCTTTCTTGCACAAACCCTCCATGGGCAGCATTTCTTGTCACACACAACTGTGTAACGACACTCTGCATATGAATGCAAGACCTTGTAAGGTCTCTTTCGTATCACTACAAACGCCTACAACCACCTCTTCAATGCAGGGAGGTCCTTGAATACCCTACCCTTCTCAATTACCATGTTAGGGCCGGCCTCAGGAGCTTCTAGGAGCTCATCATCACATCCTTCTACACACGACTGATCGGAATGAGCAAGATCGCTGCACTCGTGAACTCTTGGATCACATCATCCGAGAAAGATACGTCTCAACATCTCAACATCACTCTCTGTCAGCTCTCCAATAGGACGATCATCATCAGAATCAAGAGCCCTTGCCATCTCATATGGCTCCGAATCATTCATAATTTCAACACTATTAGAGCCACGGAATTCATCTCTATAGTGCACTCGCGCAACAGTAGTGGGCACATCCACATTGTCAGAAATGTCTCCTACAACATAAGTAGAAAAATAAGGAAAGAATGAAAAAATAGATGTAAGGAAGGGAGTAAGCTCCCGATAACCATGTGGATAAGATACTTACTCGGATGATTCTGTGTTAAAGAAATCTCATGAGGAGGATCTGCCACAACATCATGAGTCTGACAAGCATCTTCAACTAACTCATTGGGGGCAGACTGAGCATCGGGAAACATAGGTGCAACCTCCACATCTATATCAGGTTCTGGGACGGGGGGTCGAAGTGTGCTTGCTGACCCATTGGTGGAGAAAACCCATGAGTGATGGGATCAACTAACACCCGACGCACAACCACGTCCAAACTTTAGAACTAGCATTTCATAGCCAATCTCACATAGTTCTCCCACTGGTCTGTACACCCAATTGGGATCATCTTCCTTAGGATGTTGGGAGGGGAACTTAGGTGAAGTACACCCTCCACTGTGATGCCATCATCATCATCAGCTCCATGGCAATGTAGCTCCTCCCGAGCCCTTGCAACTAACTCACTAAATGAAGACTTCTCATTGAATAACACATGCACGCTTTGTATCTCAACAAACTCAACATATCCATAGCGATCTCTTTCCATGATGCCTCCATAATATATGCTCACTAGGCTGTCCATCTAGTAGTTCAAACAAAAATTAAAATACAGTTCATTTAGTCCAAAGTAGCTGCTATATAGTACCTCTCTAATAGATACTAACCAACTACACCCTAAATAACTATGTCACTAGCTATCTAACTATATTTATCTCACTAACTAAATCAACTAGCTATCTAATAACTATATCTATGTACCTATGTCACTAGCTATCTAACTATATCTATCTCACTAATTAAATCAACTACCTACATCATCAAATTTACTAGAAACTACCAAATAATCAAAGTAGCATTACAATTCAAGCTAACTAAGTACCTACATTACATATTCAAAAATTTTACTTATCCAAGTCAATGCAACGATGCGATGCGGATGCGGATGTCAGGACCGGAGTAGGACGGGGACGCGGAGGACGGGATCGATGGTGAGGTCGCGGCGCGCTGGGAGCAGGGGCCGTATCGTGGCCGGGGTCATCAGAGGGAGCGCCTATCTGTGGCTACTTGGGGACGCCGGGCGCGAGCCCAGACGAGGCGGCGGCTTGAGCCAGGAGAGGGGCGGGCTTGGTGTGCGCCCAGCCATGCAGCGAGGCGGCGCGAAGCGAAGCTAGGGGGGCGGGCGTGGTAAGGCTGGGCATGACGGACGGCGGGGGCTACTGTGTGGCAAGGCCATGGCGGTCTTGTGCTGTTGGTGGTGGCGCAGCTCGTGAGCGGTAGAGAGAGGAAGAGAGAAAGGAAGAGAGGGCCCATACGTAAGACGGGGCTTGACGCCAATAACCACGGCGCCAAGCTCGGCGCCAAAATCTACGGCGGCAAGCTCGGCGCCAAGGTGCCTGCCAAGTCACCGTCATGTCTGCGTCGAGCCAAAGACCTAAGCGCCAAAATCTATGGTGCCAAGACGTGTAAGTTCGATGCCATCGACGATGGCGCCGAGCTAAGGATCTAGATTTTGAAAACGTATGGACATATTTGTGAATTTTTTTAAAAAAAGTCTAAAAAACAAAAAATTCGTGTGTGTGTGTGAGTGAGGGCATTCGATGTTGACCACCACCAGTTACGACCACCCTCACCTACCGAGCAGGCCAGGCCTTGAATTCTACCATTTCAACAGGAACCAATCAGCGCGGCAGCGCTTGATGGTGCTGGCGCTCCCTCACCACAAGGACGCTGTCTGTACGCTCTGCTGCCACAGTCTGCGCTGCGCCATGACTACTATGGTGATGAGGTGCAACTCAGGCTCAGGCTCAGGCTCAGGGTCAGGCGCACCCCTCTATCGCTTGCTCAATTTAATGTGCGTGCGTGTCACTGTCTCCTGCTAGCTTCCTCTTCCTCTACTTCTTCCTCCGTAGTCCGCCCCCAAATGCTGATCGATCGATGTGTATGATGCCTGTTTCTGTGCATGTGTGACGTTAAGACGACAAGGCTTGTGGTAGTAGATCTCCGTGTCGTCAATGCCTGTCTCTGTGCATGTGTGACACCGACAACCAAACGAACAATGACAGGGACGACGACACCATGCAATGCGATGCAAACACTACGGAGGAACTGAAACCGAAGGTGCTGTTCCTTCCGTTCCCGTCACAGCTGACGATGAGCTGCTCTGCTTTCGTGCTTCCTTTGTATATTTCTTCCATTGCACGGGGCGCACGCAAAGCTCTCGGCTTCTTCCAGTGCACGCGACGCGCGCACTACAGTGTACGTACATACATCAATCCAGAACGTATCAAATCACTTTCTAGCAAGGCGATGTTTAGTTGGCCAAAGTTTGCGCAGGCAAATTTTGCATAGTGAAGATTCTCTAATGTAGCATTTCGTTTGTATTTGTGAATTATTGTCCAAACATTGACTAATTATGCTTAAAAGATTCGTCTCGCAAAGTTAAAGCAAACTGTGCAATTAGTTTTTGATTTCGTCTACATTTAGTACTCTATGCATGTACCGTAAGTTTGATGTGACGAGAAATCTTCTTTTTGTATAGTGCACTTTTCATATGTTTGGAGAAACTAAACACGGGCAAGTCCAGAAACGATCCCCTTTTTTAATTTTTTCCTCAATTGAGAAAAATCATCTCTCAGCCGTTGTCTTGCGACGTGGAACGAGGGCACACGGCGTCGGGCCGTAAGTCGTCTGCCACGCTAGGCCTGCCGCTGCACTAGGCCTCGAGGTACACTCACACCGCGTCGCGCTGGGCGAGTGACCTCGCAATAAAAGTGTCATATCATTGACATTTTTTGAATAAGGCTGTGTTTAGTTCCTTAAAAAGTTTCCTAAAAAATATTATAGTAGCCATCACATCGAATCTTACGATACGTACATGGAGCATTAAATGTAGACGAAAAAAACTAATTGTACAGTTTAGTTGAAAATCGCGAGATGAACGTTTTGAGCCTAATTAGTCCATGATTAAACACTAATTATCAAATAAAAACGAAAATACTAAAATAACCAAATTCCCAAATTTCGTGAACTAAACACAGCCTAACCCTTAAACAAAAAGCAGGAAAGAGAAAAAGTTCAAGGGAGCATGGCTCTAAGATTTACCACATGAGTGCGTGATGTAGGCGAAGCCAAAAGGAGCAGACCACTACAGTGCTTGCTGCACAAGCACGGCCGGTGAGGGGTGGCCACTGGTCGGCGAGAGGTGGGAGTGGCCAGTGGAGACGGACGAACCATAGAGAAAGGACGACTCAACTATCAAGTTATCTCTACAACGGTAGGACCACGAACAAAGAAGAAAGGGCGACGTTTCAATTGCATAACTTTTTTCTAAAAGAATATTTGGATTACAAAATTATATGCATAGCTTAAAATCATTTGACCTTGAACTATTAATGCATTCTAATTTACCATTCTCGTGACTGATGAGCCACATAGGACGGCAGTGAGCCTACAAAAGGAAATGGTTTTAAAAATAAAATTTGAGCGTGAACCAACATCTCTATTTATTGGTGAGTATAGGCGAGGGGGTCAAAAAGACTTTTCCCTAATTTTTTTGTTGCATTTTCTGTTTTTGCATAGTTTTTTTTAGAGGAACCGATTTTTATTTCACTTATGATATATCATATTACATTGGCTTCCTTACAGAGACACCCTTGAGAAAAGCAAACATTGTATTCAAGTCCTTGCAAGGATCTCCCGGCTGTCTTTGTCATTGGCAATCAGATGAGCCACACAATGAACCACCACTCCACGGAGAAGCATAGGAACACGCCAGGCTTGAAGCTCGAAGCCAACACCCTTCTCGACGAAGAAACTTTATAGTTCTTGAACGACACAACAAACAACATATCAAACTCGATATGCACTTGAATCGTTGAAAGAAAAGGCCTTACATAGTTAGAGCATCACCAAGAGTTCTCTAAACATCATCCTAATCCTTGTTTTTTTAGAAAGATGGAAAAAAAGCCCTCTCCAACAACTCATAATATTTACTCCTAATCTTTTAGGACTTGGAAAATTCCTCCCCCTTCCACGTAACTTTACGCGGACGAAGCCACGCGCGGAGACGCTGTTCCCGTGGAGTCCTTCCCGCGCCTTTCCCACCTTCTGGCCCTAGAACTCGTAGTGGTGCGATGCCAGTGTCTCGGACGCCTTGCCAACGAGGAGGACGGCGATGAGCTACAGGCCCTCCGTGAGCTCCCCGCCGCGTCGCACGAATTGGACGAACCGGTCCATGAGCGACGGGCCGATGTACATGACCGAGAAGTGCGCGACGCCGAGCACGGCGGTGAGAAGGAACTGCGGCCAAAAGGAGTGCAGCAGCATGGTGAGCACCGGCGCTGGGGCTTGGATGAACCCGGCGCCGGCGCCGGCCAGTTGAAGGCGAACAGCGAGTATGCCACCACGGCGGTGTCGGGCGGCGCCATGGGAGGAACTTGGTCGGCTGTGAGCGCCACCCTGGAGCCCTTGGCGATGAGCGGGTTGATCCTTCTCGGTCTTGTTTCCCGGCGTGGAGTCGATGACGATGGAGCCGTCGCAGCCCCAGACGAAGCAGAAGTGCCACCGAGGCAACGACGAGCGCATGCTTGCTTGCGTGCAGGCTACTGGTTGCCTGCTTGCCTGGTTGCTACCCACCTGCTTATTTGCATGGTACTGTATGCATGCTCTGTTTGCTTGCCTGGTGGCCGACCGTTGTTGTCTGCTTGCCTGGTTGTCGACTCCTGGGCTAGGGCAACACGACGGATGCAGGTGGCGGCGGCGGCGTGGATACGCGCGGCGACGAAGAGGTTCGCGTGAAAAAAAAAGAAGACTGTAGAAAAAAAAAACGTCAAATGGGACCAACATTTGATTTTTTTTTTAGAAATCAAATATTAGGAACTATTAGAGTTGAACTTTTTTTTTCTCCTAAAACGTTTTTAGGAGTTGGCAAACATAGAATTTTAGAAGAATATTTAGAAAACTCTTGCAGATGCTCTTACATCGCCGATGATGATAGAATCTGACGCCTTAAGAATAGCAATCTTTGTCCCATCCGACGAGAAAACGAACCAAAAAGAGAATGTGACGAGAAAAGAACCGCCGAAGCAGGAGCAACGACACTAAACCTGCTAAAGCAGCTGTCATTTGAGATTTCCTGGAAGGAGAAGACGATGGACATCTGAGTAGATGCCATCGGATATGACCACTCAAACCTAAAATACTACTATCGTATTAATTAATCTACACATCGTTGGAATGACGCCGGAGGTGCAGGGGCCAGCCAGCTCAACGGCGGATGGGAGTGACTACAGAACATTCGGTTGATTCTGTGTTATTCTATCAACCAGATTTTGAACCAATAAAAAAAATGACACGTCATAACTAAAACTGAATCAAAAATCTGGATGATATACAAGAAAAAACAACCAGATTCTAATAAAAAAAGCATAACAAAAAACGATTGAAAAAATAAAACAGCAAACAAGGACCACGTCAGTACCTACCTCTACCAGATGTGATGCATTCACGAAACAGAAAAGCAAAAAGAAGCACCTCATGTGACATAAGAAAGATTCAACTTCACTTCGAAGAAATAAACAACACATGACACAGAACTGCAAAAAAAGAAGAAGCCAAACAAAAACAAGATCTTAAAGAGAGACACGATGAGGACAAAGGGGAAGGGGAAACCAAAGGCTAAATCAGAGGAAAAGGAAGAAGATGGTCATCAGACAATGAACAAAGGTAAATTTGCTGCATTCAAGAAACTAATTAAATTCCAAATACTTGAATTGAATGCATTAAAATAAGCAAGTTCTCTGGCCATCAATTTCAGTTTTTTTGAGCAAAATCCATTAATTTCCCCTATGCAACACACGAGATGAAAAATCATCAAATATGCAAAGCTAACACAGCTTTATTACTGATACATAGGCATCAAGAATCACAGCAATACTCAAGCAAGATGATGCAACAAGAGAGCAGGTAGAATTTCTTCTAAGATACACCCCATCATATGAACAAACTGCAGTAGTATAATTCACATGTATGAAAAAATATGAACACGATGCAGTACTTAAAAAAATGGCTACCCAACATATGAGTTGCAAAAACTCAGCAAAAGTTATACTACTACAATTCTGACAAAAGCTTTTATAGGGACAAATGAAAAATGATGGTCTATTGGAGACAAATTGTATATACACAAAACCAACCATCCAACTGACCCCAAAGAATAAAAGTATCCCCAATGTGGAAAAAAAATTAGTAGAACAAGACGAAGGAGCTTCAAGGAGTGCGAAGATGGGCGATAATGCCAGCTATGAGAAGGTAACCTTTTAATTTTCATTTTTGATGTGAGGTTGCGGCCAGATCAATACAAGCATATATGCATTTGAACATGAGCATAACCAATCTGAAACATAGCCAAGACTGAAACTGAGATTTAGTACCTGAATCACAATGGGACTGAAATACTTCAACTGAAACTAAATAATACTGAAAAATAAAAAAAAAAACATGCACCAGGCTGGATTACAGAAACTCCACGCCAACAAAAAAAACAAAGGAGTCAATTAAGAAATACTTAAACTGAAAGTACACAGTACTGAACTAATAGCATGACTGAACCTGGAACTACAGTATACAACTTCGGAAACCTAAATTAAAAGTAACCCAAATCTAAAATCAATGTAAACTCCTATAGAAAACCTAAACTAAAATGCAAAAATTACTTGAATATATGAACTCTTGCAATACACGAGCAAATGGATATGAACTGATCTAAACCTCCATCTTTGCATGCCAAACTAATGAGGTAATATTATTATGTTCATATAGAATGTACAGATCAATTATCATCCATCTCCAAATATAAATTAGACCACCATTGCAACATGGTTATCTTCAAATTGGTACATGAGCAAATCTAATCTGAGTAGACTGACAATGAGGCAAATATTGCAGTAACATGTGAACAAAAAATCAGTTTTCATGGCAACAGAAAAAAAAACTTTGATGGTTTGCTACAAACAAGCAAGAATCCCTGACTACTAAATCAGGAAAACTAAAAACACAACAGCGAATATACTGAACTGCTGCCGCACGAATATACTGAACCTTAGTAACTGAATACCTGAATCACGATGGATTATGGATATGATAAATTCACAGATTTAAAAACACATAATTACAATAACTGGAGTCTATTTTTACCGCCTACTCGGTATTATGTGTATCAATAACTGGAGTCATTTCCTGCTTTAAACACAAGGTTCAGACCACACAAAGGCTGGATGTTGTGATGGGAGGAGAATCATCACGAAATGAACAAGACCACATCAACACAGAGCTATCATACCTCTACAATGCCTATGATTCACAAGTTTGGAATATAAAAAAACATTGATAACAGTAAACAATTATATATGGATATTCAATTATATGTGGGCGAACAAGCTCACCTATTTGAACTGTTGTCATTGTGAAAATAATTATACAGGGTTCCAAATTACAAGATGCGCAAAGGAAGACCCATTGTATTTAAACAAACTCACCCATCCAGCTGACCCCAAATAGCAAAAGTATTCTAAATTATGTTGAAAAAAGCTTAGCAACAACAGAAGAAGATGAGACAAAGATATTGGCACTGGATAGTGTTGGCAGCTATGAAGAGGTACAAATAACATTAAACAATGATATTCAGTTCATGCATTTTAATTGCAAAATTTAGTTTAACTACAATTATATTAACTAATATAATTATGGCTGACATGATATGCAGGGGCTACCACTTACCTTCACTGATTTAACCCCGCAAGATGCTTCAAACTTTGAGGTCAGATCAACAGCAAAGAAAACTGAGTGGTAAGAATTCATAAAGATCCATTTTCTCAAGTAGAAGTTCATACATTAAACTAGAAGCAAAAGAAATGTCAAAGAAATTCAAATATGACAAAACTGAATACTGAAAGATTCAAAGATTTAGAATAGGAAGACATCTGTTACAAACTTTGATAATGCAGAAACTTAACAGATGAACATCTCCTCTTCTTGGTATATATCTAATTACATTTTTGGGACACTCTGATGTGCGTTTTGGGACACAACCTACCAACAAAAAGATGACTAAAATATACTATATAACCTGACATACTAACAAAAATATGGCTGACATATACTATCCCATGTACTATGACATTTTTAACCTATCGAGAATATTCCAACTGTTTATGCCTTCTATTCATTTAGTTACAAAGATGGGGACTGATGCCCTGCAGAAAAAATAACACATGATAAATAAAAAAGTGATCATGATTATTGTGGTCTCACACAAAAAAAGGCTTAAAAAAGAAAAAATACCTCATCATAGAACTTGCTCACTAAAGACTTGTCTACGGAATTTGTTTTACTGAAGAATAATGTCATTGCAAGCTTGATTCTTATATTAGGAATATCAGATTGGGTGAACAACCGCCTCATGTCCAGGCTATTATCCTATAACTCCATGAATTTAATGGCAAATATCCCACAGTCACAGCTGAAACAATAAAAATATAAGCAACACAACAAAAAATTAATACAGAAAAAAAGAATATAAAAACTTACATATTTGATTGTTTTGGGACTGGTGGGTATTGGATAGATAAATTCTCAAGGTCTAGTTTAACGTCAGCTCGTACCAACATTCCTTAAATGATGTGATCTAAAAAATATATTGCCAAAAGAAGAAAAAAAAGACAAAAGAATATCAACAAAAGTAGCATAAAAAGATTGGAATAGAAATTGTTTGCTGAATATTACACAAGCATGTCCCTCACGAAGATTTGGAAATGGTTATCTCTATCATAGTATGAGTCCAAGAAAATAGTTTGCGACAAAAACCAGCAATAAAGAAATTGTCAACAAGACCACTAGGCTGAAATGATTCTCCCAATGAAAAATAAGTAACACTTGTCTTGAAAAAACTGAGTACATAATGAAGCAGAATTTCTACTAACTGAACTAACTCAACAAAATTCAGAAACTGAAACTCTGAATATTGCTGAAACTCAGGTGCAAGCAATAAAATAAATATTTAAAAATGAAAATTGAAAAACTAATATAATGAAATCTGAAACACTGAACCTTGAACGGAAAACTCAAACACTAAACCTCAAACTCTAAACTAAGATAAACTGAAATATGAAACAAGTGCAAGCACTAAATTAAATATTCATTTCTTCCCTCTTCCTATACTCTTTTTCATAATCTGTGAGCAGAATCAAGAGTCTGCATTCATTCAGATTTGAGATTCAGTTCAACTGAGCGAACAAAACTGTTGCCCAGTGCGCCGATCGACTCGGAGATTCTTTCTGAAGCACATTCCACACAATCGCAATGTCCGTCGACACTCAACAACATCTGGAAGCCCTCACCTACAGCAACGAACCGCATCACAGACGGCAAAACCCCATTTCACCTCAATTAGCACAAAGCCCATCAGAATCGACTCCACTTAGGAATAAACTGAACCACTGACGACAACAACTTCAGTGTGTGTAAAAAGTCGAATAAATAAACTGGTGAGATATACATTTATATATGTGTGTGTAAATTTTGGCCCCGTTCGGCTAGAGGGTTTTTGGAGGAAAGCGGATGAAAACACTGTTCCGGATAAAATGTTGGGATGGAAAATACTGTTCCGGATCGAGCCGGGTTCAAAGGCACGCGGAGTATTACATAAAGAGAGGAGGCAGAGTAGTGAATGAATCAATCTCTGAACTTATTGTTCTTGCGTCACGGTAGTAGATGAGCTAGGTGGGTAGCAAAACACTAGTGCTAGTATACTAGTACCTACTGAAACGATGCACACAGACAAACAAACAGAAGCAACTTGAGACAAGCAGGACATACCCATGAACATACTAGTAGCAGCTTAATAACTGTTTGTTCGATTCATCGAAGACCACACACTGACACACAAGTCGGCTCGATCGACATATCAACAATCATAGAAGAGCAGAGCAGGTGCTACCTAGGTACTAGCAGGTATTGGAATCGGCATGCATACCATACATATGGCGAGCAAGCAGTAGTAGCTAATAGCTAAGCTAATAAGCTACTACTTGGTGATGGTGTAGACGGCATAGATGATGCCGGGGATGTAGGCGAGGAAGGTGAGGAGGAGGCAGATCCAGGACTCGTGCCCGCACCCAAACAAAAAAGGAATGAAATCCAAAATCAAATGGAAGACACAAATGACAACACGAGCCTTCAGGACGGAGACGACGAGAGAAGCACAGCCTTCGCCGACAATGACGCCAGAGCCGGAGTTGTCGTCGGCACCACCGCCGCCGCCTCCGCCTACACCTGCACCTCCACCTCCGCCTCCGCCAACGCCAGCACCTATGCCTATGCCTCCGCCTCCGCCTCCGGAGAGCAACAAGCTCTCTCTCTCTCTCCCTCTCTCCCCTACACAGAACAAAATATCTGAATGGATAAGCTAAATAAAAAAACAGCACTAGAAGCCGGTTACGCGGGGAAGATAAGCCCAAAAACAAACTAAAGCGGCCCAAAAAGAAATAAACCCACACAAAATAGCACGGATCTCAACAGAATCTCAGCCATACAAAACTGATTGATTAAAAGACACAACAAAATAGAAATTCTCTTCTTCTTTTTTTATGGATGATTAAGTGTTCGGCCGGTGGTAAAGCCGCTGATGTTGATTTGTATGGTTAATTTTTGAGATAAAAAAATATTATACCATATCTTATAAGTCAGTATAAGCTGAGTTGCTGGGTAACACGACCAGCCAAACACTCCCTAACCCTGTGCGAGGAGAGGAGTTGTATTAAAAAAAAGGAAAAAGAAAAACGGCTGACAATCGAGATACCATGGTCGTTGCATCGTCATCTGCTCATCGAACTGTCTGCCTATCTATATATCAAAATCGAATTCCATCATCAACAAACGCAACATCCCCCCTCTATCGATTATTGTATTCCTACTGGTAAGTTTAATTCAAGCAACAAACGACGAACAAGTCAGCAGCAACAGAAAACAGCAAAAAATGGTGGCTTTCTTGTCGCCGCTACAGCTGGCAGCTCCTCCTCCTCTCCACACTCGTCCTCTTCCCCATCACCGCCCGCCAGTCGCTATCGCCATGGCCTCCGCCTCCGCCTCGGACAACCCAAATCCCATCGTGGTACGTGCTCCATCCCTTCCTTTCACAAGTTCTGATTTGATTCTTCTCCTCCTTGCTTGCTTATCCGTTCGCTGCTCACGGCCCCGCGCCCCCGCCGTCGATTTCCTCAAGTAAGTTGTTCTATTGCAAAGGAGCATAACTGCTAAATTCTACCCAATACACTTCCAATTGGCTGTTGTCAAGTTTTCTAGCAAATTGTTATTCTTGACCAAACTCTCCATATATAAATGGAGGTGCTTAAATTTCCCCTGGCTTAGGCAAGAATTTGCAAATTCAATCCTTCATATTTTACACCGACATTGATTGCAACTAAATGTGAAAAGCATGTTTCTTGAAATCCCTACATTTCTTTATGGAATTTCATAATGGAAACCATCTATTTAAAATTATTTAAATTTGGGAATCATTATTAATAAATTAATACCTTTGTTTCCATGACATTAGGCCCAGTATCATTTATTCGGAATGGAAACCTGCTTGATCTCTGCTTCACAGTAGTCTCTAGTCTATCTTTATGTTATGTAACTAGCATCGTCTTAAGTATATTGGTATGTATAAGGCTTTGCCATCAACTTAGAAGAGCAGTTGCATCATTGGTTAAGCTTTGCGTGGTTAAATGCACTGGGCCTTGCTACCTCATATGAGGTAAGATCTCAAACAAATCTTAGCCCTTGACTTTTGAGTTGCATACAACAATTAAATAATTATTAATTAATTAAAATGTTTAGGAAAAAGAAAAGGCAACAAACTAAACAAATGTATATAAGATATCTACTATCCAAGAATAGTTCGTTTTTTGCATTTTGATTACTGAATACTAATGTTGAATTATAACAATAATTAATTAATTTAAATGCACCTTTACGTTTGTCACATTGTAGAAAAAAATACAACTAACATTTACGTACAACTAACGTTTATGTACAACTAACGTTGAGATAAGTTACAACACATAGATTAATTAATGAAAAAATGTTACATGTCACGTTCGGAATCATCCAATACAAATCCACGGTCACATGTGTTGCTTGCATGTTAGATCTCTAATTGATAGATGTGTTATCTCAAATTTGATTACTTTCCTATTTCTCAAAATAAAAAAAAAAATGATTCTCCTATTACCTCTTAGGTGGTAATATCTGATTATAGCCACCTAGATCGACGGTCCAGTTATTTGGAGGTACCATAGCAAAACCCAAATGCACTTGGATTACCACAATTGTATTTGGTGATTGACAACCAAATTTCCATTGCTGATGTTTTGAATTGATGGCATGTGTTAAGCAGGTTTAACTTGTTGGTATCTTGGGGGTTTTATTCTTTCCACCTAATGTAATTTTGTAGGCCTGGACAGGAGCCTCATCAACACCAGTAAGCAGGTTTAATTTGTTGGTATCTTGGGGGTTTTATTCTTTCCACCTAATGTAATTTTGTAGGCCTGGACAGGAGCCTCATCAACACCAGTTGCTCTAGTTTCCATGCTTTTAAGATTACCGAAGATCAAATTTGTTATTGTAACTCTAGGGGAGAAAGGTTGCTTAATGCTTGAAAGAAGCACAATAGGTATGTTTACTCTATCTTTGCATGTCCATGTTAGTCAAGCATTTACGATAATACATGGCTACCTGCCATTATGCATTCTACCGGCAATGGGTTCAGTGCCGTTTTTCCTTGCATACCTTGCAGATGCTTCTGAGGCAGACAAAATAGACATAGAGGCACTGTTGGAATCTCTAGAGAAGAAAGTGGATCAGAGTTCTACGACACCAAATTGCATTACTTCCAAGGTATGATACCTTATATGTAACATGGGATTGTCATTCTTTCCCATAGGCCTATTCCTTTATCATCTTAAAGACTTGAATACAGGGTCGGAGCTGCAGTACACTAGTATATAAAAAAGCCTACAACACTGCAAATAAGCTGAAGTTGTTTGGTTTATTTTTTTTTTCAACATGAGGAAGCCCCATTTCCATTAACAGTATAACGGAAATACATATAGTTTGCAGAAGACAAAGACAGATCACAGAACAGTTTTTCGAACCTGGAACCTACTATGAGATAAATTGACGAAATCTACCGCTCTGTCTCAGAGCCTACTATGCAACCCAGACATAAAACGGACTGTTCCAACAGCAGACAGTTCCACCACATTACAAGTAGCAATTCGTTTCGTAAAACTCTGAAGGCTTCACTACCAGAATGCCTCAGCTTTAGATGCCAAAAAACAGGACTTCAGACTGAGAAAGTGGCTACCAGCACCACGATCCCGCTTCAGACTGAGAATGTGGCTAACAGCACCATGATCAAGCAGGCGCATTTCCTGCATCATCTTGATCTCCACCCTTCAGACGCTTCGGATTGCCATCCACCTCTTTCTGGTGAAGAAGTTGTTTGATTTATAACAAAATGTTAATCTGAAATAAGTGGGCAACACACGCATAGAAATTTTTGTTTGTAGACTAACACATTGCCTGGAGCCCTATCAAAGCAGCTGTCTGTTTTAAATTCATGACTGATTATTTTGAACAATTTTGAATAGTAAGTTATGTAACAAATTTGTTTCTGCTGCTGTCCTTGTTTTTCAGGCTAATTTGAGAATATAAGTGCAGATGGAGTGGGGTCCATAAGTGGCAGGTTACTGTTAGGTACCGCCGAAGTTATACCACCTGATGAGCTCATTGATACAACTGGTGCAGGAGATGCATTCATTGGAGCAGTTTTATGCCCTTGTTCGTATAATTCGTACTTTTCAGCTTTTTTTTTCCACTCAGAACAGTGTTTTTCTCTCACAACAAATCAGCCGGAACAATGTTTTGTTTTGTTTTTTCAGCGAAGCGAATGGGGCCTTGATTGTTGCAATTACTAACTACTGAGACAGTTTTGAAGTCTATCGGTTGGTACATAAGCCGGCTGGTTTCGGCTAATTCAATTGTGATGTAAGAGAGAATAAACTGAAATAAACTAACCTCGGCTGAAAAGTAGTTCAAGCGAACAGGGCTGGGGAATAGGTTTATGCACTGGCATGCCACCAGAGAGAATGCTGCCTTTTGCATCGCAAGTGGTAAGTAAGGCACTTTTAAATATTTTTTAGTGAAAATATTTGAAGAAGGAAGTTGTGGCAAAAAATCACACATAGCATTCCGTGGTTACTGTATACGCAAAATTTGCAGGCTGGCTGCGGTTGCAGAGGTTTGGGGGCTCGGAGCAGCCTTCCTCATCGCACAGACCAACGTCTGATGGGCTATTGATCAAAATTCAGGGTGGCCAGAGACTACTGCAGATCCAGACTAGCTACTGTTTGACTCGCTTTCTGCTTTTCTGGCTGCGGCTGCAGCTGCTTTATATATTAGCTACAGTACATTTTAGTTCTTACAGTACATTTTAGTTCAGTTTTTGCAGCCACAGCTGCAGCTGCAGCCAAGAGAGGAATACCGAATACCATTGCAGGAAGATGTGTATTGGTACATTTGTGGCAGAGCCCTGATTTGCGTTCGATTCGATGTGATACTACTGTAACACTTTTTGTAATCTTTTTGAACTAAACGCAGCCTTACAGTACATTTTAGTTCAGTTTTTGCAGCCACAGCTGCAACTGCAGCCATGCGGCTGCAGCCAAGAGCAGCTGCAGCGAAGAGAGGAATACCGAATACCATTGCAGGAAGATGTGTATATACATTTGTGGCAGAGCCCTGATTTGCGTTCGGCTGCTCTAGAAGCCAGCCGCAGCGGCTGCTTTGAGCATTGTAGCAACAGTGACTTGTGTCTGCAGATCAGCCGAGAGTAGGAGCAGACCGGCCGAGAGTTATAACGCAATGGCCCTGTTCGTGTACTCTTAAATTCGGTTTGATCCGCATATTTTTTTATCTAGAACAGTATTTTTCTCTCACAAATTCTTCCAACATTTCTCCAAACCATCCAAATTTCTCCAGAATTTCTCCAAACGAACAGGCTCAATATATGCTCACATGCCTCGTGAGTCGTGACTGAAACCGGTACACTGAGTAATCTTTTTTCTTCTTCTTTTGGGTAAGTCCTCAACTATTATTTTCACTTATGCCTGATTTGAAGTAACTAGTTATAAGGCATATATATCGCTCATTATGCCTCGTGAGGTTTGACTGAAACCGGTACACTGAGTAATCTTTTTTTTCTTCTTTTGGGTAAGTCCTCAATGATTATTTTCACTTGTTGTTATGAGATGAACAGGCTAGATAGACATGTGTTGTTATGATAGATGTGGATATTTGCACTTTACTGGCATTTGCACCAACCCTTGTCTCCGACGATTGTCTGTGGATGGATGGGACATGATAAATGATTTGTAGTCTGTAGATTATTTCATGCTTGAGTGGATGGAGAGGACATTATAAAAGATCTTAGTCTGTAAACATGCTCACGAGATTTATATGTTGAATTGTTGATGCAGCAGGAAGCAACAGTGGGGCAAGGTTGGTGAAAATGCATTAAACCCTGTTTGGAGAATTGTAGATATTTAGCCTCTGAATTTGGAATTGGTACAGGCAAGCTCTAAATGCAGCTGTTTAGATGGCTAAGAATTCAGAATTGGAATTTGACCCCTAATATCAAGCAATATTCAGAATTGGAATTTGACCCCACTACCAAGCAATATTCAAAAGAATGCCCTAATCCTCGATACAGGGCCATGCCCCTGCTTTCACTCTTGACAGTTGACACGCCAACCTGGCTATCCACCACATGACATGCCTCCACCACCCCTGCTTTCGCTCTCGACACGCCACCCCCAACCATCCACCGCCTGACATGCCTCCGCCCCCGATGCACCCCTCTCCGTGGCCGGCGGTCGGCAAGGCCTTCTCTTGTTCCCCGTGGCCGGTAGCTGGTGAGCCCTTCTCTTTGTTCCCCGTGGCTGACAGCCAGTGAGCCTTCTTCTCCCCATCCTCTCCAGGATTCCAAAAGCCAATTTAATAGCTATCCAAATAACAAAATTTGATATGTGGCCAATTTCAATACCAAGGCTAATTTGGTATTGAACCTAATTCAATTCCATGTCACTGAATACACTAAGGGTTCGTTTGGATGCAGATATTGGAGGGCTTGGAATTAAATTGTGTTGAATACCAAATCGGACTAGTTTTGGAAATGGATACAATACCAAAGGTATTGTTTGGATGTAGATGAAATTGCTAGATAGAATTCAACTGAGTGGCAAATACCAATTCATGTTTGGATATCCATATCATCAAATTGGAATTGACAGACAACATCCCATCCCATCTGCCACTCGTGGGCATGACCGCCAATGACCGGAGGCGGAGGAGGCGGGGAGGAGGGGGCGCCGGCGATGGAGGCGAGGGAGGCGGGCGGCGCGCCATGCCGAGGAGGGAGGCAGGAGGACCAGGCTGACGCCGCCGAGCGATGGAGGAGGAGGGGAGTGTCGCCCGGCCGATGGGAGGCAGGAGGAGGGCTGTGGCGCGGCCGCCGAGAGAGGCAAGGAGGAGGCGCGGCAGCGACGATGGAGCGAGGAGAGGCCGCCGCCGATGGAGGAGGGAGGAAGGGCTGGCGCCCGCCGAGCGAGAGAGGAGGGAGGAGGGCGTGGCCTGGAGGCCGATGGAGGCAGCAAAGAGGGCGCCACCGATGGAGGGAGGAGGGAGGCGGGCGGCGGCGGCCTGCGAGCGAGGAGGCAGGAGTGGTGACGCAACTTCTCGTGTCAAGAGCGAAGGGGTGAGAGAGAGAGAGCGGGGGGGGGACGCGATTCCAGCGAATATGGAGAGGCTTGGCTCGGTATCAAGGGTGAAGGGGTGAGAGCGGGACCAATACCGGTTGGTATTGAATTTCATTTCCAATTCTAAATTACATGACATCCAAACAGTGGCATTCGAAGTTAGCAATTCCAATTCCAAATTCTTGAGTCTCAATACTACTTCCAAACGCAACCTAATTTTGATGCAACAGTAAGCATCTCATTTTATCTCATCATCCGGGCAAGAGCTTTTGAATGAAAAAAGCAATCAATTCTGCAGGATGGCATGCCAGCTTCATCGATCAGAACTCAAAGCAGAAACCGCAAGCTTCCCTCAGTCTTGAGGCGAAAAAAGCAATGCTGTCGAGGAGCTTCGCAAAGGGCGCCTAGGAGCACAATTGGACAAATAACAAATGTACACCCAACGCAAATTGCTTTGCTTGCTTCATCATCCAGATCCAGACCGAATAACAGCAAGAAAAGCATATTTATTCATTAAAATCGCTAACACAAGCAGGTATAACAATTAACAAGAACAAGCCGCAGCGTGCAAACACAGGCGGAGGATCGCATAGCGTGGCAGCAGCAGCGACCGAGCACAACTTATCTGATCAATCCGTTTCAATTCATGGAAAGGGAACTAAACTAGTGTTGCATCGAGAACGAACATGAACCAAATAGGGTTTTTCTCCTTTAATTACGACCGACCGACAACAGGTCGACTCGATAACTCCCTCCTCCCTCTGAAACTTCTCTCAACTCGAATGATGAACTTGATAGCAGCAAACACCTGGAGAGAGACAGGGAGGAACAAAATGGTCGATCCATGGAGGATCTATCTACTTGGCTGCTGCTGGCGGCGGCGGGCCACCCAGGAGCGTCTGCTGCTGCAGCTCGAGGTCGTTGAGCTGCTGCTCCCGGTCCATCTCGATGATGAGCGGCACAACGAGCACCAGGAAGGTCGTCCCCGCGATCCACGCCGCCTTCCCCGTGCTCCGCAGCAGCTTCTTCGCCATGGCCGCCGCCTCGCGCCCGTGCGCCGCCACCTGCGACCGGGAGATGGCGGCCAGGATGCCGTCCCCTCCGTCGCCGCCGCGCTTGCTGAGAGCCGAAGACGGCGGCATCCTCCTAGTCCTAGAGAGAGAGAGATCTAGGGTTTAGTGGGAGGCACGAGGGAAAATGGGGAATGAAGGAACTCGGCGTGGGGGGGTTGGGGCTGGGATTCCTACTTGTATGCTTGCGACCGCATCGGATATGGGCCGTTTTGTTGAGTTTCATTTGGTCATTTGGCCCAGTCCAGGAGGAGTGATAGTTGATGGGCCGGCCCAAATTACGATGTGATGGCAACCCCAGCCACGATGCGGGGGGAGGGGGATCGACGCACCTTTTCTCCTCGTCGTCGCTTCCCCTTTCACTCGCCCCCTTGTTGGTTGGGGACTTGGGGGACCTGACCTGGGAAGAAGAGAGAAACCCCAGCAAGCGCCAGAGGGAGAGAGAAAACCCCAGCCCTCCTCGTCTCCTCCGCCTCCTCCCCTTCCTAGTAGAGTGTAGAGACAATCAATCTGGGAGATCGGCGAGCGAATCACGCATACAGCTGTAGGATGGAGTGGGGATTGAATGCCTCCCCCTCCTGATTGCAGTTTTAATCCCTCCCATTCCTCCGCCCGTTCCTCGTCCACCCGAGCCCGTTGAAGTACAGGTGTGTCTCTCTTCCTTGTTCTTCTTCTCCCCCTCCTCCTCGTGACTCCGTCACTATTCATTCGTCTTCTCTTCTCGCGGATCGAATGTGGTTGATTCCCCCTGCCGATTGACCTGTTCTAGCGCTTCAGGCCACCTTTCATTTCATTTATTTAGGTACATGTTTCTTTCTAGTTTTGTTCTTGGCAGGGAAAAAAGACTAATCACTTTTTAAGGTGCGAGTGCGATCTAATCTTTCGGATGTTTCTCGGAAACCCTAAGCTACCATTCAGTTCACGCATTGGGTCGGAAAACCTAAGCCACCATTTAGTTCACGCATTGGGGTTTTTGTGTCTTCCTTCGGGGCAAAATATCACGCCGTTCTCACTATCAGTACCGTCGTTTCTCTTTCTGTCTTGGATTTCCGTCATGTATTTCGGGTGCAATCTGATCTGTTCTGATGATTCTCCCGGGGGGATTAGGGTAGCGTCGTAGCGACCTCTCAGTTCACACATTGGGGATTGATATATTCTTTTGGCCATTCGCTCCTCCCTCGATGCTAAAGTCACGCCACTATTTTCTCTTACTTTGTTGGGTTTTGCTTGCATCAGCTACTGCCCACAACAACCAGTACTAGTACTGTAGTAGTATTCCAATGTCATGTGTTTTGTGCAACTAGACTAGTTTATTTTGCCCAGTTAAGTGGCTGACCATTTTCTTGCCCATGGTGCCCGCCACAGGCTGCAGTCCGACTGGGAGCAGTCGCCATCATCCCTGTTCATCATCTCTGCCATCAACACCAACATGGGCGGCAAAAACACGGAAAGGGCCAGGAAGGCGTTGGACGCCATGAAGGAGCTCGGTATCTCTAGGAAGCAGGCCACCCCAGTACTCAAGGAACTCCTCGCCACCTTCGACAACAACTGGGAGCCCATTGAGGATGAGCACTACCGTGCCCTCGCAGATGCCATCTTCGCTAGGCAAGACAACAAACAAACCTCTCCCTCCCAACAGGTTATCATTCTCCTATCTACCTCGCTTGTCAACAGTTTATACCTTCCTTTCTTCTCCATTAACTCCATACTGCTGTAAATTATTGATCTTTGTATCAGGACGCCCAAGCAGCCCATGCGGACTCAGAGCCAAATGGATCAACAAGGGATGATCTACAACAATATGTTTATGCTAGTCATGATGACACAGGTGAAGATGATAATGAAACACCCCTGGTCAAGAGGCCCAGGATGGGCACGGCTAATTTCAGGCCAGAGCCGCTGCCATTTGAGCCTGGACCACAGCAATCCACTGTTTCAACCCAAGGTGCTCTGCCTGCTTCACCACAAGCCAGTCGTTGGCAAACTAGGTCTTTGACTGTAGTGCCACACGCTGCTGGCCATGAATATCCTTTAGCTGTCGACGATGCTCTCATTGTGAGAGAACCCAAACCAGAACCACACATTGATATAGCAGAAGTCAGTGTTGGTAACCCTTTGACGGATCGAGATTTTCTGGCTGGTCCTGATGCCATACGGCTCAATGATGGATCTTCAGGTTAAGTTTGTCTTGCTGTCCTCAACATCATGTTCTCAATGTTCTATAACGACTAGATGCGTCCATGCCTGTATTTGTCATTCTTTTAGCTTCAGCTGAATGTGCATTTTGTACATATGTTTATGTGCTTCATTTATAAATCAAACTGAATGCTACAGTAGGACCTCCCAAGTTGCAGACTGTTACTTTTGTACAAAAGCTATGTCCATGTTTGTATTTATCGTTCTTTTTTTTAGTTTCAGCAGAATTGTGCATTTTATACATGTGTTTATGTGCTGTATAAATCAAACTGAAAGTTACATTAGACCCGTCCTATTGCACACTGTAAATGTTAGCCATTTTGATCAATTCCCAAAGCACAAAAAAATCGTATATTTTCTAAAACTTCTATTTGGTGCAAAACTATGATAACTGAACATTGCAAAACAAACTTCAGGTTCTGGTGCAAGAGGCAGCATAGTCAACCAAGCTCAAAGTCTTGGCAGGAGCCTGCAACCAGCCCCAGTGTGCAAGAATGGGGTAGGGTCTACAGTTCAAAATACTAAGGAGACATCTTTTGTGGAAGTTGACGTTGCTTCTTCCGCCAATGGTGAGGTGAAGATGTCATTGAAATGCAGCTTGGATTCTTCAAATTTCAGCATTAGTATGGAGGAGGTTTTCAAAATGGTGGAGGAGAAGTGCCTTCACTCATACAACGTGCTACCTCCAGATTTTTCTATTGGCAAGCTGATGAGTGAGGTATGCCAATCTGTTGTGCAGTTGGGCACTATGCATTCTGAGGTTAATAGGGACGATGGCAGCTTGCATAATGAAGTAGTTGCTCCTTTTGTGAAGCCAATCGCTTGTGAGGCTGCTGTGGGCATAAATGATAATGCGGCTGGTGGATCATCGGTGTTTGCCTCAGAACCTTGTTTGCAAAATTCACTTGTTACTTGGGATCCTGAGTTGGCTCATTCTAAGCAAAAGACAACCCATGATATTACTGATATATCCAAAGGTGAAGAGCGGGTAAGAATACCTGTAGTAAATGAATTTGGCAGCGAGACCTGTCCTCCATCCTTTTATTATGTACCAAGAAATCTTGTCTTTCAAAATGCTTATGTCAACATCTCTATTGCTCGGATTGGTGATGAAGATTGTTGTGCTGATTGTTCTGGCAACTGTTTGTCAGCATCAGTTCCATGTGCTTGTTCAAGAGTAACAGGCGGCGAGTTCCCCTATACACCTGAGGGCCTGCTTAAGTCAGCATTCCTTGATGAATGCACCTCAGTTAATCATTTCCCACAAGAGCAGCATAGGTTTCACTGTACAGTTTGCCCTCTTGAAAGATCTAAGAATGAAGCCTCACCTGGTCCATGTAAAGGTCATCTTGCCAGAAAATTCATTAAAGAATGCTGGAGTAAGTGTGGATGTGGCATGCAGTGTGGAAACCGTGTGATTCAGCGTGGTATAACATTCAAATTGCAGGTATGTTAAGAGATTTGCAATGCAATGTTCCTTTCTAAATGGTAGTCATCGAGAGCTTATTAATGTGCAATATTTGCTGGTTCTGGTCTTCTCTAAAGGATTGCCATTGCATTGAAATGCCTTCATTTATGTGCTGCTATATGCTTATCATGTGTATTGCTTAGTTCTTCCCAGTGCACGTAGCTCCTGCTTGCGCAGGGTCAGTTGAAGGGTCCAACCACTTGGGTCTTTTGTTCTTCCCAAACACAAAAATTTACCATGTGTCTTTGCTCCATTCTTGAATTTTATCTAGTTGATGGCTCTTGTTTGTTCTCGCAACCCTCGCAACCCGGGCTTCAGTTCCATAAACAATTGTTCCTTTATGTCGCATTATTACATGGTATAGGTGTTCTTTACACGCGAGGGTAAAGGCTGGGGAGTACGAACAGTGGAGGATCTCCCAAAAGGTGCCTTTGTCTGTGAATATGTTGGAGAGGTACTAACAAGTGCTGAATTGCATGAAAGAGCAATTGAAATTGCAAGAAATGGTAAGCATATGCATCAAGTACTCCTTGATGCTGGTTGGGGTTCAGGTGTATTGAGGGATGAAGAGGCTCTTAGCCTTGATGGTTCATTTTATGGGAACGTCGGGCGATTTATCAATCACCGGTATGTAGGATACTTGTTCATTTTTTTTTGTAAATATCTTCCATAATTTGCGTGTTTCATGTCTGCTGTCCACTATGTATTTGGTAACAAACATATCCTATGACTAGATGCTACGATCCAAATTTAGTTCAGATCCCTGTTGAAGTTGAGACGCCTGATCATCATTATTACCATGTAAGTAATCTGCTGATCTTAATGGGTTTGTGAAAAGAGCAAGTGCACTACATGCTAATGGTTTAATAATTGATGTTGCTCAGCTGGCATTTTTCACAAACAAGAAAGTGGAGGCATTTGAAGAGTTAACATGGGTAAGTGTCATGTTTTTCTTTGGGCCCCTGTTGGCATACATGCACGGTGCTGATTTCACAAGATAAATGTTTGGAATTGTGATTTCAGGATTATGGCATTGATTTTGATGACGTGGAAGGGCCCAGTAAACCATTCCGATGCATGTGTGGGAGTAGATATTGCCGTGATCCCAAGAATCCAAGTATGTTGCCATTTTCAGTGCTTAAAAGAAGCATTTCCTTTGGATGTAAACGGGGAATCATGTATGTGTGATGGTTTGTTTTTGGCAGGGAGGATGGGTAGAGCAGCTGCAAAGCGAAAGTAGGCGGGGAGCCTGAATTTGGTTGGAGATGAGCACATCAACTTCTGCTGGGAGATTTGGTTTCGTATTTGATGGTGCATTATCATCACCTCAGCTAGTAGTATCATCACCTCAGCAAGTATGTTGCCAGAGGCTGAGTAACGCGAACGCGACCTAGTAACCTATGCCATATATTGGCCTCTAAATTAGGCCGGGATTGAGTAGGCATAGAAAGAACGCCTAATAGTACTTGATTATGTCCATGTCATCTTGTTACAGGGCAGCAAGTTCAGTTACTGCCATTACGTGGCATCATCTATGCCATGTTGGGTTCTATGCCTGTGCTGAATGATTTTGCTGAAGCAGGGTAGTAAGTCTTGGCCCTTGTAGCCTGGGGGTGGACAAGTTGTTGCCACATGGCCGTGCAATGCCAGCATGACACGTGCTCAGGTAGGGTCTGACGTGTCAGCATGGCAGAGGCCGTTGGTTGCTGCCCAGAAACCCCTCATCTGCTGGAGTCGTTGCTGAGAGCTAGACCACCAGACATTTCAAAGCTGCGAATTGGAGATCGATTTCTTGGCGGAAAGAGCAGCCAGCCAGCCACAAGCGGTGTCGCCACTGCGCTCGGTGTGGTGTGGCTTCCTCCCCACCACAAGGCTCCCCTCCCCTTCCATCTCTTCTTCCATCCCTTAGCTCGGAGTCGGACCACCACCCACCACCAGACGTCCAGACCACTCCAAGCTTCAGCGCCGCGCTTCTCTTTTCTCTCCTATACGTTCTCGTTGCCGTTCGAGCGTGGTAAGCTTAGCCAGCCTCTAGCAAGAGCGAGCGAGGGCACGCACAGGGCATGGCGGCGGCTGTGTCCTTCTCCCGGGTGCGAGCTCTCCCGACGTGGTCCAGCTCCGTGTCCGGCGACGACCATCACTCCTACTCCGTGCTGGCGATGTCGGTGTCGGCGCGGCCCTGGTCCGGCGCGCGGCCGCTGCGGTCGCCGGCGCGGATGATGGGCAACGTGAACGAGGGCAAGGGGCTGTTCGCGCCGCTCGTGGTGGTGACGCGCAACATCGTCGGCCGCAAACGCTTCAACCAGCTCAGGGGGAAGGCAATCGCGCTGCACTCGCAGGTCGGTCGCTCTCTTGGGTTCCTGCTCCTGCTCTCCGTCACTTGTCCTCATCTCCCCCTCTTCAGGTCATCAATGAGTTCTGCAAGGCCATCGGCGCCGACTCCAAGCAGCGGCAGGGCCTCATCCGCCTCGCCAAGAAGAACGGAGAGAAGCTCGGATTCCTTGCCTGATCTGATCGGCGCCCACGAATCCACGATGACGATGATACATATATGTAATAATATATAAGTATTCCATCATCAAGTAGTGACGGACAATGATACCTTCTTGCTTGCTCGAAATCCTCTATTAAGTGGTAGCTAGTACATATCATTGATGTGACGATGCTTCAATTCCTTCAGATGCTTTGGTTGTCGATCTTGCAGCTAGCTGCCTCCTTCCTTCATTCCTGCAGAAATAACTGCTCCCTCCGTTCCAAATTGCAGGTCATTCTAAATTTTCTGGACAATCAAAACATCTTAAGTTTGACCAAATCTATAGAGAACTACAAGCATTTATGACATCAAATAGGTATACTATGAAAATATAATTAACAAAGAATCTAATGATAAATATTTAATATCATAAATGTTATTGTTTTATTATATAATTTTGGTCAATCTCGAGATGCTTTGACTCTTTAGGAAAGTTGAAATGACTTATAATTTTTTGATGGAGGGAGCATTTCATGTTGGATATTGCATATGGTGCACTATGCATCGTACTAAGCAGATTCACTAGGCAACAACATTCAGAACCACTGAATGATGATGCATCATTCATGTAAAAAATGCATGTAATATTACATACACACACGTCTATGAATACAAATCTTTGGAGGATTAATTCGATTGATACAAATCTTAGCTCGCACAAGCATTGTCGTCACCTCCGCCCTCAGCCTGCTCAAGCTCGGGATGATGGTCTGATCGAATATTCGTCCTCTCTTCTCTCACCCTGGGCATTCGGTCAGACCGAACCGATCGGTTCGGTTCCTCGATCATTCGGTCAGTTCGGTCATCAGAAACCTGGGACCGATCGGTCTTTGCAAAAAACGAAGACCGAGGAAGTTCGGTCTCGGTTAGTTCGGTTCGGTCTCGGTCACGACCGAACTAACCGGACCTGAGTAGCAGCCACAAACAATAGCAGAATCTATAGCAATTTTCAACAGCATGCTTGCTATTTGAAGGCAAAAAAATAACAACACAATATATAAAACAAACCACACATTATTATGACAAGTTCTAGCACACAACTTTCTCAGTTCTCACAAATCCCAATCACACATAATGACATTACGAACGAAGTCTACAGAACTACGGTCAGTTCGGTCACTTCGGTTAACCGACACATATGACCGAACTTCTATCGGTTACTTCGGTTAGTTGGGAGCTAGGACTGAACTCATGACCGAACTTTTCGGTCTCGGTCTTTTCGGTCTCGGTCTCGGTCTCAGTCTTTTCGGTTCGGTCTTCGGTCTTCGGTTAATTATGCCCAGAGTTACTCTTCTCCATGGTCCATTTCTGAATATCTAGGCTTCTGATTCTTTGATGACAAAGCAGGAGGCCGCATTCTTACGACGTCGTCTTCATCGACCATCGTCGTCCTCCATGCTTATGAACTCGTCTGGACTTGGCAGCCCCTCTCTCGTCCTCGTCCTGGTTCTTGCGTGTTTCCTCTTGGTTACTTCTTTGTCATTGTCGTTCCATGCCATTCTGTTGAAAATTAATCTTTGTCTAACAAGTTCTTAATTTAGCCTATACATGATAACTAACTCTACTCAACACGGAAATTAAATCTTAGGTATTGACGAGATCTAAGTGTGATAACAGCATGGACACCTCTATAGTCTACAGTCATGTAGGCGATATAGGTCTTTAGTCTTCCCTAGAGCTTACGCCCTGTTCGTTTGGGCTCGTTTGGCTGATAAGCCATGGCTGAAAGTACTGTTGGCTGATTTGGTGTGAGAGAAAAATATTGTTCATTGGCTAAAAAAGTACGGCTTATAAGTCAAACAAGCCAAAACGAACAGATCACGAAGTGGATCTATAGTGCAGAACTAAGGACGTGGATACCGTACTTCAGAGACCCTTCAATGCCTGCGGGTGTCTGGGTGACTCATTCTGAGCAAGCATCCTAGGTCGATTCTAAAAAGGAAAAAGTCTACTTAATCCCTCACCTTTCATACTTGGTCTATTTCACCCATAACTATGAAACCGTCTGTTTTACCCCCTGAACTTTTCAAAACCGTATATTTTACCCGCCGAGCGGTTTTTGACAGCGGTTTTGCTACAGTCTCGGTGGGTTTGCTACAGTGCCGGTGGGTTTGAATTTTTTTAAATTTATTTCCGGTGAATTTTTGAAAAATCATAGTAAATCATAGAAAAATTTAATTTTATTGGACTCCACATGAGTAGATCTACACAGTGAATATATAATACGGTATGATTTAGTACAATTTTTTTTGTAGCTTTAGATTAATTAGAAAATCCAATTTTTTCTGTAATTAATTAGAATTTATCTATAACTAAGTTATACATAGTCCAATGAGTACGAAATTTTTACTATAGTTCAAGCATACAATAATTAGCGTACCATAAAAATTTCACCACAATTAGACCATAAAAGCTGCAGCTATGAATTATTCCAATTAATTACAGACAAAATTAGATTTTCCCAATTAATCTTAGGCTACAGTAAAAATTTTGTACTAAAGCATATCGTATTATATATTCACTGTGTAGATCTACTCATGTGGAGTCCAATAAAATTAGATTTTTCATTTTATGATTTTTCTATGATTTACTATGATTTTTCAAAAATCCACCGGAAATAAATAAATAAAAAGAAAACTCAAACCACCTGTACTGTAGCAACCCGTTGTTACTGTAGCAACCCGCTGTCAAAAACCGCCCGGGGGGTAAAATAGACGGTTTTGGAAAATTCAGGGGGTAAAACAGACGGTTTCATAGTTTGGGGGTGAAGTAGACCAAGTATGAAAGGTGGGGGGTTAAGTAGACTTTTTTCATTCTAAAAGGACTTAGAACTATGACCAATCACGACAGGGACTTATACCTAACTAGAATATTGGGCGCCTTGCAATGGCATGAAGAATACAATGCTTTATAAGCTAACACCGGTACATATAGTCATTATTGGTTTCTCAATATCATCGTAGAGTCAGCACATATTAGGATTGGTGTATCTATAAGAGGATTGTTTTTTGTCACTTGGGGTGGCACCATTGTCTGTGCATACATCTGCATTTCTGTTCACTTTACAGATCCTGTTTGTTGTAGCAGCAAGCTCTTTGTTCAAGAGATAAGTCCGTTCCTTTCTAGCCACTGCAGAGGCAGAAATGGCCCAATTCACATTATAAGTTCCGATTAGTAATCGCATGATTACCAAACCAAACCCTAGCTTGACAACAAATTAGCGATATTACACAAAACTATTAGCGACTAGCTACATAGCGCAGCCCCTCATCAACAATCTTTACCGGCAACTGAGCAGGAGGCGTGGAGGGCCCACCAAAAATCCTCTCATTCCACTCCTTCCAAATCATCCAGCCGATGAGGAAGGCCAGTGAGTCAAAACCTCGACCTCGACGTGCCACCTTCGATACCTGTTTTCTGGTGTGCAGCCACCAGGAGAAGAAGTTTTCCTGATGCACCATAATAGATGAATCCAGGTGCAGCTTTCCTAGGAAGATGGACCAAACCTCCCTGCTGAATACGTAACCCAATAGAATATGGTCCATAGACTCAACTCCCTGCGCACATAAGATACAATCATATGACTGCTGCAGCTCGTGCCTCCGCCTCCTTTCTGCAGTCTAGCCACTGCATATTGTACATCAATTGTCAAATAAATAGTAACAATAATGAATCCATGTAAGAGGAACTGCTTACATTGGTTAAAGTTGACATCTTTAGTATGTGAACAGCTAATTGTCTCTCCTAACATCTCACACATATTGGCAAAGAGAGCATCCACATGAATATAAATATTGGAAGGAGAGGGTTAAAGAGTGACAAAACTTTTCAATCAAAAGACTCATGTCGAGTCTAACCTGAAGTTGTTTGACATTCTGGAGCGGCAATTGAAGCACAAAAAAGTTCCTTGGTAGAGAAATTCTTGTTTCACTTCAACTGAATTTGCTCCTGCAAAATTATTGGCATTTGAAAGGTCCTAATGGCTAGAGGGGGGGTGAATAGCCTAATAAAAATCTACAACAACACTTAACAAAATGTGTTAGACAATTTTGCG